TTGTAGACCACGCATAATACTACGCACGATGTTTCATGATATGTCGTTACATATACACCTTCACGCACTCCCTACGTTCATGAATTCTCTTCTCTCCCTCTTGAGAGTTTGTCTGTCTTTCTTTTGCTGTTTCCCGAGAAAAGAGATTACAATAATACTTATGATGAGGCTACGTGTGTTTAGGAAAAGTGGATTAAGGAGAGAGATTGCTTATGATACTTTACAGTTCAATTAAATTCGCGTTTATTTCTCACAAAGAAACCTGATGGTACAAGTCGACTTCTGTCGGCTACCGTCGTGCAGCGACTGGGACCGTGACTTACAAAGTACGCGTGATCGCGAGATTCCCGAAAACTATTCGTTTTCCCGCTCGGCAAACTTCGTGCATGCTCGCGCGCCCGCGTACGAAATGCGACGACTTGCCTCAATAACTTACATTCCTATCTTTATACAGACTTCTCACACGATCCCTACGAGGACAGTAAAACTGACTTCGACATCGTGTTAGAAGATCTCTGCGCCACAACAGCATCGTTTACTTACTTTATATCTTTATATACTTCATATCGTTTATATACTCAATATCTTCAGATAAATTGCGGGTTGGGGTACTTTGATCTTCGAGAAATACTGAGTTTGAAGCATACAGAACTAAGTACCACTACGACAATCCAATGAAGAAACGGTCCGTGAAGTCACGTCGCAACTTAATCACGAGACACGGTAGTGTCTCGCGCCAAGTGTAAGCGAAGCTAGTACCACGCGCGCGAGACCGACCGTGTAAGTTTACGCGAGTACACGACTTGACGGACCCTCAGATTTTTGAAACTCAACAATGGCTGATCCCACGAACTTGAGACTGCGCTTAATCGATAGCTTGGGTACGATTTGCATAATAAAAGTATTTTTACTTTTTTCCTACGTGCTCCATGAGTAGAGATATTGCAATGCAAAGTCCACAAGTCTGAATTTTCACGTAATTTTTATTAAGAAACATCGTCATCGTGGTCGTCGTCGTGGTCAACCAGGCCAAAATCCATCTCACTTTTCTGCCGCAACGTGGCATTGGCGTTGCTGTCGCGTATCTCACGTAGCGTCTCGCGCCAAGTTTGAATAAGTCTAGGTGTATTAATACCGTAGTTTTCGGTGTCTAGGTGTATTAATACCTTGAACTCGATGTCCACGTATCCCAGATCGCCGATGACGACGTGGACATCGAGTTCAAGGTAAATTAATACACCTAGACACCGAAAACTACGGAGCGCACTGCCTGGACGCAGTGATGCCAGCTTGGACTACCAGCTACATCGCTGTCGCGATGGTGGGGATAGAGTGGGGATAGCACGTCTGCGCGCGCACGCACGCACACAGGCAACACGCCGCATATACGTGTGCGCTCGACGCGTATATGCGGCGTGTTGCCTGTGTGCGTGCGTGCGCGCGCAGACGTGCTATCCCCACCATCGCGACAGCGATGTAGCTGGTAGTCCAAGCTGGCATCACTGCCTGGACGTCGTCATCGGCGACCTGGGACACGTGGACATCGAATTCAAGGTATTGATACACCTTTTTTTTTTTACGTGTGGAAATCCTTTATGGATACCCGGGCCCCCCTCTGGAAAGGGAGCCCGGGTATCCATAATATTTACAAAGTGGCCCGGGTTATGTGGGACTGCCCCCCTAATGGCGATCGGGTGCGGCCGCTGACGTTGCGACCGCTGGGCTTACCGCACTAAAACCACACGGTGGACTGCGCGGTGCTTTACTTGGGGGACGCCCAGGCTTGGCAGAGCCATTACTTCTGGACGCCCCCCGCACCGGCCCGCCGTTTGACTGGCGGGCCTCTGCGCTCCCTCCCCCGTTGGTGTGGGGGAGAGGGGATTCCCCCCGCAGGGGGAGTCCACTACTTAGAGCTACCCACTACTCTCTTGGGCGGCAGAGGCGTCCACAACCTCTACCGCCCGCCTCCGTGGAGGCAGGGTCTGACGGGAATCCCAGCCCGCCAGACCCAGGCCGCCTCCCCCGTTGTCGTTGGGGGAGGGCCGTCTCCTCACCGCCTCGGCGGTGTTCCGCCCACTAAGAGGGGAGGGGACTTACCCGCGGCTCGCGGGCAGCCCCTCCCCCGCCCGTCAGGGCGGTTGTGTGATAAATACTACATATAAGTCACTCTCCTCCACCAAATGTAGATGGAAAAATGTATGCGTGAAGACAGTGTGTTCCGCCCCCCCTTCGGGGGGGCTCCACTTCGTTAAAAATAACCCTACCCACCCTATGTCAGAGGTGTGGAGTGGATCTCGCTTCACGTAGAAAGTCGAAAACCCATGTTGTGTCGCTACATTTCGTCGGTATGACAGATTTCCTAACTCTAAAAGTTGTCAACTTTAACAATTAATATCTCGCTTCGCAGGGCAGAGCAACGATTTTGTCTGAGGAAAAAGTTGTTTCTCGTTGAAAAGCGCGTCGAATGAGACCAATTTGATTGATTTTGGAGGTGTAGCAGCTATACTGAAGAATTACCATATATTTATTATTTGTATCCTTTCTCAGCCTGTATCTCCGAAACTATTTGAGTCCGGCCCTTATATATATATATGAAATGACTCGGGAAGACATCCCCAACAACATATTTAAAAATGAAGCAAATCGGAGAGGAGGCCCCTTATATGCATAATTACCATATCTTCTGATAAAAGGGTTAAAAATATATTTATTCAGACATACATATTATGTATTTAATTGTTATAATAGTAAAGAGAATATTATACTTTTTATTAGTTTACAACATATATGCCTAAACGATGTCTTTGAAGACGTCTTTAAGACTCTACACAATATTGAAAACTACACGTTTGTCATTGTTGCAGATTCTGAAACATCGTTGTAGTGATTATAAATATATTGTATAAGTATTGTATTAATGATTTTTTGCTTAAGACACAACATATGCTACTCAATTTTTGACGCGAACTTGCTGCAATCCCTAGTAGAAACAAACATGAGATGCTATCAACGTTCCATGATGTTGCCGCATTCTCGACCAAAGAAGTGTTCAGACTGTAACATGTTGCTAGTTCCTTATATTATATCACTTTCCCTATATTATACCAACCATATATTATATCACATTCCTTCTATTATATCACCATATCCCAATAAATCCCAATAAATAAACACCATATCACAATAAATATTTATTGTGTTATATTATCTTCTATTCCATTTTTTTCCATTCTTCATTAATAGCAAATGTAACTTTATCATTATCCATTATTGTAATATGATTACCTTCCACCGAATAAACTTGCACTTTCCCTTCTGTAACCTAAGAACAAGTTTTGTATCATGAAGTTTCTCGTTACCTTACTTTTTATAGATTAGGTAAATCTTTTACCTTATGTAAACCGTAATCCTCTTCAGGAAAAGAGATAATCGGAAATGTAGGTTTCAGTAATGTTATAGGTGACTTAATGCGAGGTAATGAAGAAATATTGTAATCTTGTATAGCTCTGAAATGATTGTGAATTGTGTAATATATGAGTTTCTGATTATTTATGGACAATACATTTGCATCCAATGGGAAATAAGTATGAAAGATTTTTAATTTTTCGTCGATTGTTTTACACTTGTTCAACTCTGACGCAACCTGTAAATAACAAAATTTGCATTTTGTATAATTAATAATAACAAATATGCTAAATACAAAATAACAATATTAATACAAAGATTATTTGATTCCCAAATGCTGGTAAAATATGTTGCTATTTTTGTTAATTTTATTATAATTTCTTAATACTAATTTATTATAAAACTTAATACTAATAATTAATCAGTTGTTTATAATTATTAATATTCTTTTATTGTGCGGTCTATCAAAGGTTTTATTAATTTTACATAAATAAATTTTCTGAAAAAAGTTATTGTGCGCTTTTTATAATTTACTAACCGTTTCCTTGTTAATTCGAGTGTATACTTGTAATAAAAAAAGCAGTATTATATTTTCTAATTCGGCTGGAGAAGTATGGGCAAAATTAGTCATCAATTTTAGTTGGTCAGGAGCTCCATCTATTAGTATTAACCGTCCAGAGAAATCACGAGCTTCTAATAATCTGACTAATTCAATAGCAATTAAAGTTCCAAATGAATAGCCCACAATTAGAAACTTCCTTTGATTTTTCATTTTCTCCAATACGTGCTAAAAATAAATATGAATGTATAGGTAAGCTGTAATAATGCGAAAGATATGTATTTGATAGATATTATTTACAAATTATATAAATATAATTAAAATAATAGTTTTAAATAATTTTAATTTTCTTACAGGCACCAAACAAGTAGCTAACTTTATTATTGTTTGAACATTGTCAGATATATTAAGTACAACATGTTGCAAACACGTTGCCGATGATTTAATTCCTGATGCTATAGATTTATACACACTTGAACATCCTTCAATTCCTGGTATGAGAAATATATGATCTCGATCAATCTCGTTCTTTGTAGCAAGCTCTACAAGAGTATCTGGAACAAAGTCTGAATTTTTTGCTTTTTGAATTAACCTTTCAAAACCTCCCATATTACTTGAATCAGTTTGATTTGTATCCTGTATTTCTTCTCGTTTTGCTGTCATTTGGGCAAGTTTAGCAAAAGTAAGATTTCTCGTGTCTTTTGCTGATAAGGAAATATCGGACTCTCTTTCTAATGTTTGCTTAATTTCAACTGCCATCATCGAATCCATACCCATTTCAGCCAATGATACGTTTGGCGGCACTTTCTTCATATCTTTAAAACCTATTTTGAAATAAAATAATGTCGCTATAAATGTCATCTTTGATCTCCTAAAATCGTTTAGATCTGTTCTACGTAGGGGTTTTAAGTCGTGTCGAATGTCGCGGGAGCATAAGCACTAATCTTTTTGGCTAAGTGGTAAAAAATATAATTATTTAATTTCCATTAATATTATGTATATGTTTTGATATATTATCTTACAGTACAGACAGTTGCAATTTTGATCGTAGATCACACGATTGTTGTGATTTTAGCGACATATGTATAGCTAACTGCAGCAACTTACGACATTCTATGTAGAACCGGTCTTACCATTAAAAACTGTTATGGAAACGTAAAATTAGATTCTTTATATGCTTATGCACTCAGTCATTTCAATACAAATTCTTGGCATTTAGAAATATTGTTTTGTACAAATTGTTGTTAATAAATTATGAAAATGTAAAAAATATTCATCGACTAATGTTTACTTTAGGAAATTTTCTAAAGTTGTAAAATGCTGAAAGAACAATGAAATAATGCTAAGTATAAAAGACATAAGCAATGAACAGTGTAACCTAGTTTTCAACCAATGGGGTACGAAAAACTCAGCGATGATTTGTAAATGTCAATAAAATACAAATTTTTTATGAGTAAATAAATATGTAAGTAAATACACAAATATATCTTTAACCAACTGTTTTTTTTAATAAGAATGCTTTACTCATAGATATTTAAATTAACTGTCATTTATTTTTACATAAAACTTGAAGAAAAATTTCTCGAATGACTTTTTCACTAGTGTAGAAATAAGAAATTATAACACTTTGTTTAAACTCTTTTACATCGTACTTTTTAATAATTATTTGTGGAAATAGAATAATCAGTAAAAAGAGAGAGTATATCATTTATACAGATTTTGACCTCGAGAGAACATATCGGCACTTCTCAGATCAAACTAGCTCCATCGTACGTGCAGGATAAGCTTCAACGTGATGATCAGGAAGAATTGATGTTTGTTTTAACGACCCTAATACATTGATTAGAGTATACTCGCGTTATCGTAATACTACGAAGCATCAGCTATGAATCAGTTATAGAATAATGCTAACAAAGATTATGCTAAAAATGTCGGAGAACCTATAAATGGTTGTTATTGCACGTGTCAAGTGCAATAACAACCTTTTATTTGGGGTATGCCAGGTATCATCTAGTCAAATATTCCTCAACAAGTCTATTAGAATCAGTTCAAGATGCATTATGCTCTTTTATGTTCTTTAGGGAGGAGTTATATCTT